CTTCCCCAAGCTCGATTGCAGCCACAGCCGCCGATGTCATGGCAGCCACACGCAGAGAACTGTCGGTCGCTGTCTCAGGAAGCCAACACTGCAAGTGCACGGAGCATTCTATGGACACTACGTGCAGGACCTGCCTCGAAGACATCAGGACTAAGAACATCTTCGTGCATGTACAGAAGCCCAAGCCTTTTTTTGGTCTCTCTCTCTCCATTCTTTTCTCTGCCCGTTTCCATTTCTCTTCCAGGCCGTCCCGCTCTTTGCCGTCTTTGTGCTCTCTCACCCTGGGTTTTTCATCTCTCTGCCTCTGGCTTTCTCTCTCTCTCTCTCTCTCTCTCGCTCCGTCTCTCTCTCTCTCTCTCTCTCTCTCTCTCTCATTTTCACCCCTGTGGTTTCTTACCAGCATGACACATTTCGCACGCGTTCTTCGGATAAAACCGTGGGTAGCCGGAGATGTAGAGAGGATGCTGTAGAAGTAGTGTTTTTACTAAAACACAACAGGCAGGCATCCAAGTAATTCCACTCCTGGTACCTAGCACTGGTAGACATAGAACCAGTAGGAGTAGTGGTAGTAGTAGTAGTAGTAGTAGTAGTAGTAGTAGTAGTACTAGTAGTAGTAGAAGTGGGAGTAGTCGTAGTAGTAGTAGTAGTAGTACTACTAGTACTTTTTCGAGTGGTGCTGGTACAAGTAGTAGTCGTAGTAGTTGTAGTACTAGTGCGACTACTACTACTACTACCACTACTACTACTACTACTACTACTACTACTACTACTACTACTACTCCTAGTACAAGTACAAGTAGTATTAGTAGTAGTAGTAGTAGTAGTAGTAGTAGTAGTAGTAGTAGTAGTAGTAATAGTAGTTGTATTCGTAGTAGTAGTAGTAGTAGTAGTAAATCGTAGGAGTAGTAGAAGTGGGAGTAGTCGTAGTCGTAGTAGTAGTAGTAGTAGTAGTAGCGGTAGTAGTATTACTAGTACTAGTACTAGTAGTAGTAGTAGTAGTAGTAGTAGTAGTAGTAGTAGTACTAGTAGTGGTAATAGTAGTAGTAGTAGTAATAGTAGTAGTAGTACTAGTAGTAGTAGTAGTAGTAGTAGTAGTAGTTGTTGTTGTTAAAAACACTAGTAGTGCTACGACTACTAGCAGCAGTCGTAGTAGTAATAGTAGTAGTAGTAGTAGTAGTAGTAGTAGTAGTACTAGTACCAGTAATAGTCGTGGTTGTCGTAGTAGTAGTAGTAGTACTACTACTACTACTACTAGGAGAAGTAGTAGTACTACTAGTACTAGTAGTAGTAGTACTAGTAGTACTAGTAGCAGTAGTAGTAGTAGTAGTAGTAGTAGGAGTAGTAGTAGTATTAGTATTAGTATTAATAGTAGTAGTAGTAGTAGTAGTAGTAGTACTAGCCGTAGCAGTAGCAGTAGTAGTAGTAGTAGTAGTAGTAGTAGTAGTAGTAGTAGTAGTAGTAGTAGTAATAGTAACAGTAGTACTAGTAGTAGTAGTAGTAGTAGTAGTAGTAGTAGTAGTAGTAGTAGTGGTAGTACTAGTACTAGTACTAGTGGCAGTAGTTTTAGTACTAATAATACCACTACTTCTACTTCACTTCTACTATTACTACTACCACTAGTAGTACTACTACTACTACTACTGCTACTACTACTACTACACTACTACTAGTACTACTAGTAGTAGTACTACTAGTACTAGTACTACTACTACTACTACTACTACTACTACTACTACTACGACAACCACGACTATTACTGATACTAGTACTACTACTACTACTACTACTACTACTACTACTATTACTACTACTACTACTACTACTACTACTACTACTATTACTACTACTACTACTACTACTAACAATACTAAGACTACTACAAGTACTTGTACTACTTGTACGAATACCAACAATAACAACAACAATGCGACTTGTCTTTCAGAATACTCTCCGTACTCGAGTCCAAGACGTTCCTGTACCTGCGAGACTGGAGCAAAATCATCAAAAGCACATGCACCTTGTTAAAGAACAGCGCAGGTACGCATAATTAACAATCGCTTCAGCACGAACCAGTGCATCCCAGCGATGTTCCTCTCTGAGACTTTGATGCCTCCTCCGCTGTCATACTCAAAACTTTCTCACTCGTCAGCCTTCAGGCTTAAAAATATGCAGCATTCGCAGCAGCATCTGGGTTGGGACAATACTTGCGCTAGGGACCAGTAGTACATGGATGCTGCTAGTCGAAAAGCATACAACTCAAATTCACGTTTGCCTTCGGCTCGGCCAAAACAAGGTGGGCCTGCAAACTGACTACTTAGTACTAAGAGCCCAATCCCTAGACGCGAAGCAAACCACAGGGAAGGCTCACGAGGTCTTTAGGCTCCCGTGCATTGCAAGCCAAGCTTTGCCAGTTTGGCCGGCGAGTCGCCGACCATTTCGCTTTTCAGGAAAACCATGCAGTCAGATCGAAGATCGGCTCCTTCAGGGCCTTGACCGCGTCATTTGCAAGAATGGAAGCGTGCGGCACTCCTGGTTTAAACACGAAGGCCTGTCTTTGGCAGAGCAGCAGGGCGAGGATTCCTCAACCCTGCCGCTCTTTCTTACTCTGTCATCCTAACAGTGTCGGTAGAATCCAGCACGTCTGCGCCCCGCCATTCTCACTTGTGTTCTACGACTCTGGACTACTACGATACAAAAAAATAAAATCTGCCTGCCTAGGCTTCGTGCAAAACTGCCGACCAGGGGTCACATGAGGTTGTTTTCACGTCTGAGAATTGCACTGCGCCAAAAGGAAGGATCATGGGCAAGTCCTTTACAGCGAACATGCCAAATGCTGGTCCGCCATTTCCGGAGTGTAACTTGAATACCATGGAATCATTAGCAAGTACTTCACTTACCTGCTTATCTCCAGCTGCAAACCTCGTGTCTGCCGCAGAGTCCCTGTCAAAGAGACTTGCACAGAAGAATTCTAGGTGAAACGCAAGCACCCTGACTAATCCTGCAAGCCTTACCTGAAGAAATGCACGGTCGGGGTCTCCGTGGGCTCCATGACAACTCCGCCGAGACGCCAGTTCAGAACGGAACGAGGCTATGCTACTCACTGATTCTCAAGCGACAGGTCCAGGACGCTGCACTGCAGGCCACGCAGGCCAGGCCTTCCACCAGCAGCTGAAGCGTGACCTTTGCACAATGCGAATTGAAACTTCTGCTGCTTCTGCCATTGACTCCAGCAGCACGTGCAGTGCCTGGAGACTGCTTTTTGCTGTCTGCACCTGGCCATGGTCCGCGGGTCCCCCTCCGGAGTCTGACTCAGTCAGACTGCCGAACCTTGCGAGTGTGCATCCCCCTTCACCACGGCGGCTCGGCGGCCGCCAAATCACCCTCGGCATCGACCGACCTGGTGACAGGCCCACCCCACATGAAAGGGATTCGGGCCGACGTGTCTTGTAAAGACAAGACTCTCTCCCGAAAGGAGCTTCTCGACGGCTTTCTCTCCACACCAGAACTTGAGCTGAGCGGATAGCTTCTCGATAAGTTCGTCCCTCTGCTCACTCCGACATGACACACGGGATGCCGTGAGACTCTTGTGCCCTGCCACGTGTCAGGAGATCAAAAGCTTCACTTTGCAGACCGAGCAGCTTCTTTTCGAGTTCGTCGACGAGGGTGTGTGATTCCTCTGTCACGGTTCGCCTTGGTCGCCGGACCCGGCCCTGCACTGCTCAAAGACATTGGGCTGGCATCTAACATAAACCCTGCCGACGAGTTGCAGCTGGTGATTTCGCAAGCGAATAACCGAGATGGCACGTTGGTATTTTGGCGTTAAAGAATCGACCGTAGCCGTAGACTGCAGTTCCTCGACTTTTCTGCCATCCAGCCTGGCGCAGTGTCTTTTCAAAGGCGCCTCTCATTCCAGACTACTGAGATCCTGCCTGCTCCTCCTCTTGTTCTTGCGGTTTTTATCGTATTCTTTCTGCTTCGCTGAAGAGATTTTTCGCTTGGGCTTTTCCGCCTCCAAGGGCACGATGGCCAACTCAGTCTTTTTGCCTGTAACCCTTCGCGTCACGACCATGGCCGTCGTGCTTTGTGCTGGAGCTTACCTTGGTGGTCGTACACCAGTCGTCCTTTGTAGTTAGTCGCAGTGTCTCGCAACTGTAGCTCTATAGTTGGTCGCTCCCAGATGACAACACTCGGAAGATCCCTCCCAGGGACCAACCTCTGCCCTCCTCAGGACAAAAAAACAACCCCTGCAGGAGGACTGAGAAATTACGGGGCCCAACAGATGTTGTTGCGACATGTCCTGTCATTACCCTGGCAGTGGGCTGCTTCTAGACATGCCCTGTCTACTCCGAGCCCACGTATGCTCCGCGAAGTTGCTTCTCGACGACAACCGTGCAGAGTCCAAGCAACGTCCTGGTCAGTGTGCCCTGTCCATGAAGTCTTCAAGTAACTTTGCAAGACACTGAGCGGCTTTCATGTTGCTGCACAGCTACTTTCGCGAACGGCATGTGCCTGTACACGGCGCAATGGAAAACTCAAGACCGAACAGCAGGATGAGGACGCCTCTGAACCCTGCCGCTCAGTCCTCTGCGCCGGTGAACCGCCAATTTCGCGAATGGTAAGTGCCCGCATGTGGCATGCCGCTAAAATCATTACCGAACTGCAGGACAAGCATGCCTGTCTTCTCTGACTCAGCTTGAGGTGCCGCTTCTCTGCAGAGTTTTCATCTCGGCCCTACAGAACCTGGACCAATGGTTGCTTTATTATTTAGGTCAATCACACATGCTGGCCGACTCTAAATCTTTCGGACTAACATGGAGCTGGACAATGAAAGAAAGGGTTCGCTAGCTCAGAATGTCTGTTTCATGAATCAAAACATCAAGCACCTCTAGCCTGTGGCACTCGGTCAAGGCATGCTGACAAGTGACAAACCTGTGTCTGCCTGGCATTAAAATGGAAAATTATGTCGAGACTTCAGTTCTCTACGACAAAGATTGCCGCATTCAGATAGTGCCGGCGTCGCTGCCCGAACCCTCTTCCTGCTCATCGTCATCCCCGTCCGATTCATTGTCGTCCTCTTGCTCGGACTGCTTAGCTTCCTCCTTGGCACTGAGGACCGGCTGCTTGTGCTTTGTTGCATCATTTGCTGCGGCACGAACCAAAGCTGCCTCGCCCCCGGTCGTCGACGACTCTGCTTCCTGCCGGTGGCCGGCAGCATCTGCATCGTAAAAGCGTGCGCAACTTGGATCTCTGATCATGCCGGAGACCTTGGAGGCGAGGAAAGTCCTCAGAATTTCCTGGTGCTGGGAACTCTGGCAGATCGCATAGCAAGCGACTCTCATCTCCTTGGCTTTCTTCCCGCATGAGTTTCGCTGCCAGGAGCTCAGGACACACGGGTCAGGGACATGGTGTTTTCAGCACTCGAATGCAGGACCAACACCAAAGAGTCTTCCGAATGCCCCCTAGTTGCGATGCAGGCCATCAGGAGATTGGGGTCAGGAGAAAAGCACACCATGCTGGCAACGCGAAGCACGTGCAGCAATTCTTTGTACGTGGTGACATGTTTCATGTGGAAATGCAGCGGGACCACATCCTGCCAAGAAGAGTGCCAGAGACTTCGGCGCCGCAATTCGAAAGGCACGGTGCTATACACGAGTCCTCCTCGGAGATGCTGTCAACTGCCAGGACCTCCTTCTTGTCCTTGTCCTGAATGAACCCCTTGTTCTTTGCATTGTACTGCAGTAGCACCTGCCAAGATAACTTGCACGGTCGCCAATTACAGAAGTGACAAGGCTACGGCTTTGGCCTGGTTCTTGACTTTCCTGGTGACCCGCGGCGCCAAAGAACTCGGAGCCGGCAGTGCCACCCCCAGGATTGGGCTTGAGGAATCCGAGCTCCTGCTGAAGACATGCAGGAGGGGCATTGCGAAACATGGCTCTGTGTTTTAGTGCTTCAAGGGTCCAGCCAGTCTGCAGGTACCGAAGTTCCCGCGATTCCGGAATCGGTCCAGCGAAGAGGGCAAAGCAATTCTCCTTGCCGGTGATCGTGGACAGGCAAGCAGCCTTCTTCCGGCGTTTCGATCCGTCCGAGGACCTCGTGCCGGCAGAGGCACACGAGCAGCACTACACCGCCCTCGACCACAAGCGCTGATACTCACCAAGTGCCTGACTCTGCCGCAGCTCCCATGCCAAAGGCTGCCCGCGTTTCGAGGTCTGATTGTTGGTTTGGCACCAGCAGCCAAGTCACGAAGTTCCACTCATTCTTGCTGATCTTGCCTATTGCCTTGCGGATCTCCTGCTGCCCCTTGACCCAGCCTTGGTCGAACATGACCAGCACATCCCGCTCGCTTTGGGCATACTGCGAGAACATCTTCGCAGCCGTCATCCTGACATGTTTTCTCCGTTGAAAGAAGGACATCACTTTTTAGATACACAAGACCACAGTGACTACCAATAGTTAAATGAAACTGTTCTGAGGAGCATGGCTGGTTGAACGAATGGCGGGCTTCTGGCGAAAGGACAGTGCGTCGTGTTGAAAGCATCCGATGTCTCGATCAAAAAAGATGAGTCAAACCACCATGCCCGAAGTTCGCCGGCCACCCGCGGAATCAATTTCGGCAAAGCCCTCAGCTTGTGGCAACACGCCGCAGTTGCCATGCATTATGCCTGAACTACTTCTGCCCTTTAACGTTCAGGGGGGCGTCCGGACATGTCCAATCCAAGAGCAGCAACAAGACAATCGAGAAGAGTAGCGGCACTGGTCTCGGCAAAAGCAAAGGCACTTTCATGAGCAGGAGTGAAAGCTGAAGAAACAGCAAGAGCTGGACTAATGAAATAGTCCAGCCAGGAGCCACAGCAGGGCAACAGCAACAGCAGCCGGAGCGAGACATAGACCAGAGCCACAGTCACCGTAACAAGACGCAAAGGATTCATCTGCATCCGTGAGGCGGCTTCAACACTCCGGACACAGCATTCGCATCCTGGATGTCTGCCACAAAGAAGTGCATGTATCTGTCGCACTCCTCCATGGCTTTCTTCGTCACTTTACTACTGTGCGTTGCAGGTTCCTCTGAACCAGCAGCAACTCCCGGCGCATCACCAGCGACATCGCCGTCGTTCCAAGCAGGTGCCGTAGTGGCAGTGTCCTTTTCAGGCTCAACGCTGGTCTCAACGGCCGTCGCAGGCTCCGGTGTTGTAGTAAGGACCTTGACATGCTCATCCACGTACCTTTGCGATCTGGGAAGACACCACCCAGGCTTTAGGGATGTATTAAATTGCTAGGGATCAAAGGTTTGGGCTTTGAACAAGTCCATGCCCCCCCAAATGAGGACTAGAAGCTTTTTGATCACCTCGCTTAGCAAGCCTTGCGTCCGCGGGTCGCTCAGCTGGGCCGACACAACATCGGTTGCGCCCGTCACAACATACATGGTTTTCATGTGGTCCAAGTTCCTAGGCTTCGAAGTAACCAGTGAAAATTGCTATATTTTGTTTCATAAATTACGATGAACGGTTCCGACAAAAACAGTATCGATGTACTCTCCACATTCCAGCTTCGCAAAGTCCACCAGCAGCCTTAGAACACCGACTTCCGCATCGGTCTTTCCAAGGAGCATGTGGCCAGGCACCTGAGCCCTCTCGAGCAAGGGCAGGTTCCCTGCATCCACGAAGTAGGACAGCTCCTTCTTCCACTCGGCTGCCTCAACCGTGGACGAGTCATCCCGACGGGGGCTGCACTGGTCGATCACGGCCTCCATCACGCGCCTTGTTCCCAGAACCGCCTTGACATTCTCTTGGAGGCTGGCTCGTGTCCAAGTAGCAACCTTCGTGCCGTACCTGAAGAGGAGGGGGCTCGAAAAACCGCGGGCGAATTGGCGGATGAGCCAAGAAAACTCCTGCGAGTCATTGGCTGCGCCAAGCAAGGCCGTGCAGACTGACCACCGGCTCACCCACGTGGCTCCGAGTGTGGCGTCGTGTTGGAGCTCACGTAGGAGTTCCCACACATTGGCTTCGCACGACCGATCTCTCAATCGCAGCAGCTTCGCGATTTGATCCGACGATCGAATCTAAGCCGGGGCACAGCACAGCTGTACTTGCACAAGTTTGCTGCGACCCGCACTCTGAGGCCATCGCCGCCGAATCCTCGCTGGCAAACGACAGCTCATGGGACTTCACGCGTGCCTCACAGCAAAGCGAGTGAGCAACAGTGTCAGCAGAAAATCCTTTAATACTCCCAGGAGCCTCGAACTCAGCGTAGAGGTCCTTCGCAGTCGAGGGTTTGCCCAGGGAGCGGTGGAGCTGCTGCAACCTGGACGTCTCAACTCGTCACGACTGAGTAGCATAAAGCTTCTTAGTCTTCCAGGTATTGGGGCAGCAGCTGCTTCAAGCGATCACATAGTCGAATGCAGCACTGGTTTCCCTCCTGTCCATCTTTGCAGATTCAGCAGACACAGACAAAGAGCTCTTCAGTGGTCACTGGCCTCCCGAGCCACCTGTTGCACGGTTTCCCCGTGCTGGTGTATTCTCCAGAAGCACTCTGCCGAGTCGCTGGACCCTTTCACAAGGGCAAGTGGGACTGCCTTGGCTGCATGAAGCATGAACTCTGCACCGGAAATCCCAGGCCCTTGCACCACGTGTCCCTATGACACATTCGGAGAAGATTCCGATGCACGCATTGCATACTTCGCCCTCAGCTCCGGGGACTTCGCATCGTGCCAGGCCGACACGAAAGCATGCAGTTGGGCCAATCTCGTGATTGGCAGGAACTCGCCCCTGAGGGATGCAAACGTCCAGCAAGTACTACTCTTTCCCGACCACTACTCACTCCGGGCCTCTTTGTGTCAGAACTGTAAAGTACTGTGATTGTTGGGAGCTCCTCGGGTGGCTTCTCTGCTGCGTAGAAGTACTCCAGCGAGGAGACCACGTCTGTGCACGTTACCGTTGTGCCAGCCGGGCCGGGCTTGGAGAAGTCGATGTCGCCCAGAACGCCCATGAACCGCAGCGTCCTCGACACGAGCGGGCGGCCAAGTATTCAATCAACCCGAAAGAAAACATATGAAGCCAAGCGTCTGAGTATCCTCAGCACCGGAAAATGCCGCGCCCAGGCTTGCGCCGTCCAGGACTTCCTCCATGCCAACATGTTTTTGCGGCACAGCGCCGGCAGGCACCCACTCCCCCTTGGCCACCAGATCTTTGATCTTCTCCGAGGTAGTGCTCCAGGGCGTTGTCCTTGCGTCCGCTTGCGGGCTGCTCTGAGCCTGCTGTTCCTCCTGGTCCTTTGGTGAGCACTTGGAGCGCCTGCCGGGCCTGCTCTTGCTCTTAGCGTCCGCCATGTCGCACGCAACTACACGCAGAGCCTCTGGCCTCGAACCTGAACGTTGCTCCAAGTGCTAGCTGTCGGAACCTTCCTCTTTGGTATCCTGCATAATGTCACAGTGATCCCCCCGGTGGAGTATAGACCTCGAACCGTCATGACAAGCTGGGACCCATCACCCTGAACCCTGACCCCAATCTAGGATCCCAGAACCCCAGAGCTACAATCGTTCAGGCTGCAGGAATGCAAAGGGCTCGCCGATCGCGAAGCTTCTGATCTAGATCTGAATGCTGCACCACCGAAGCTGGAAAATTCAACCTGTACTCCACCGCACCCAAGCCCTGAACTGCGTCATAGACCGGAGAACACCGCTGGGCAAGCCCATCCAGGCGAGCCCCCAAAGCCCCTACGCACGCCCTTCCAGGCGGACCAAAAACCCGCCAGCTCGCCTTTGCAGGCGAAGACCAAAGATACAGGCGATTCGTCAACCACCCTGAAAGCGTGCTGGTCTCTCGGTCTCTGGCCATGCTGTGAATAACCACTGAAGCCGATAAGGAGTCCAAGCTTTCATCTCCTCGGTAACAAGAGCAACTGGAAAGGCATCCTGTGAGATTAGTCCTTTCAACGAAGACCAAGAATGACCAAGACTCCGGACTGTCATTCTCTGCAAGTCGGCGAGCGCCTCCTGCTGTCCACCCACCTGCACCGAACGGGAAGCAGTCGTGGGATTCGGGGTTTATTGTTATAGGGTTTATCTCTCAGGCGTGTCTCTGGAGCGATCTGCGGGGGGAGGGCTCCACCCACGGGTGTGTCGGGCGAACGGGTAGGGACTCCGACGGGCGTGCCGTGCGCTGCTGTCGGACGGATTGGGACTCCGACGGGCGTGCCGTGCGCTGTTGTCGGACGGATTGGGACTCCGACGGGCGTGCCGTGCGCTGCTGTCGGAGGGGTAGGGACTCCGACGGGCGTGCCGTGCGCTGCTGTCGGAGGGGTAGGGAACTGAAGGAAAAGTCTTGTTCCTCTCACGGCTGTCTGTGGGGAGGTCAGCTCAGGGATTGCTCCACAGACGGGCGTGCGCTGCACTGCTGTCTGTAGGGAGGTAGGCCACAACAATGCTCCAGAGACAGACTTGTGTTATGAGGGCCAGGACTCTTCCGCGAACGTCTGTCTGTGGAGACGTTCCCAGCCCCAAGGCTCCACAGACGCGCGTGCCCGGCGCTCCTGTCTGTGGGGCCGTGTGCCGGGACAGTTCTCCACTGACGGACGTACACTCATCCTACTCTGGGTCATTTCCCTCGCGTCTCCGACCTCTTTTAGTCTACAGCCCTCAGCATGGCGATCCCCGAGCTGTTCCGGCCTTGTCTTCTCCAGAATGGGCAGCAGCCCCCAGCGCGGGCCTCCGGGAAAAACGGCGTGAACATCAACATCTCAGAACAGCAACAACAACGCCGCGGAAAAAGGCCAAAGGCTTGCAATAATAGTAATCACACCCATAATGAGTCATTTGAACACTTGACCTGGGCAGATTTGAATGCTTCGTCGTCCTGAAGTCGTTCTGGCGTCCAATCAACAGCAGTAGCTCCGTGGATGAAATTCCGGCATGCAAGGTGGGGTTCGTAATATGGAACTCCTGGGCCTCCCCCCCCCCCCATACCCTGTCAGCCCTCAATCTGCTGAAAGAAGCTGCAGCAGCAAACGGAACCTGACACGACCCACACCAGGTGGCCCCAAGGCCCGAGAGCCTGCCTCCTTCCCAAGGATGCGTTCAGTGCCATCCACACGGGCGTTATTTTTTTCAGCTCAACGATGAAGCATTATGATTAGGAGGCCCGGAGAAATTATAAATATCCTTCGTTGTGTTTATTTTTATTATTGAAGTCTGAACCCTGCGACGTGGGCGAACTCCAGGCCTCGGGCTGCTTCTTGGGGGTCTAGGCTGGGGAGACGAGTCTGTTATTGTGATGTCGGGTTTCGGGGGTGTGGGCTTTTTGTACTAGTGCATAATTTCAGTGAGCCATACACAGGCCACGCACAGATGCACATCGGCAAATCGGGCTCATGGTTTGCAGGAGCTGTTCGAACCTGCACTGATGCGTAAGAAACGTGTCTGATTATGAAGATTTTCATTTATTTTTGTAAGGAGATTCTTAGGATATATAGGAATGTAAAAAATGAAATCAAAAAAATCTTCGGGCAGGTGACAGAAGTGTTCTCGGCCTTCGGGTGTCGACTAGAACTCTTGGTCGAAGTGCCAATGACTGCAACACGTTTCTTGAAGCACGCTACACTGCATGACACACATAGCGGCCAGAGCGTTCTGCAGACAAGAATCAAGTAGTCCTTCTTCTCGCGTAGAACCATCTTCACGTGGGGCCCTGCACTGGGGTTCGCCAGGAGACCACTGTGCACCAAGTTGAAGAGTGTCTTCACATGCTCCGGCACGCCAGCCCCCAGATACAGCTGGTGCGGATGGACAACCGCTCGTCTCAGCTGGAGGACAGGAGCCTCGGAACGTTCCCAAAACCGCATGACCAGGAGAATGGTGGAAGTGACGTGCATGAGCTAGTGTGATTCACCTCTAAGAAACCCAGGGCAAGCCCTTCCAGGCGAGCTCAAAACACGTTGCACAAGCCCACCCGGCGAGAGCCGAAAACCCTGGGCAAGCCCATCCAGGCGAGCCCCAAGTGACACGTCTTGTCCATGTCACATTAATCTATGAGGCTGCATCCCTGAATGCTTGTCGGGCCAATTTCGCATAAGTTCACTTCGACACAAGACTACCTTGCGTGCAAATACACCAGCAAAGACATGAGTTGCGATTTTGCATCTGTGGACCACAAAGGCTTGTCCGCTTGACGCCGCCGTGCATGCCTTGTCAACCCAGGCAGTGGACGTAACAAAGCCGCCAAGCAAGCGGGTTGCGAACATGAAGTCCACGTCCTTCGTGCTCAGGCCCTTGACACTCAGGTCCGGATCAATCAGCAAGCGAAGGCTCGTGGAGTCCGGGGCAACATATAGAAAATTCACAGGCATCACCTCCTCCCGAAACAAAGAATGGTCGGCAATGTTCTCCAAAAAAGTTGTTAGGCCGCAGACTTTTGCAAGGAAAGTGTGAGGCTGCCCATCTTTCAAAGCACGCTCCAGCCTCTTCTTTAACCGAATCCGGGCTTGCAGCTCTCCGGCAGCCAACACGACCAACGTCCTGCCGACAGGCAAGGTTTGCACCTGCTGCGCCAGCTCCCGAGCTTCGACGGAGGCCAGGCTTTGCTCGTTCCGGCGCAGCTCCTCCTGGAGCTGCGCCGCTTTCAGGATCGTCTCGTTGTCACCGGGCCCATTCACGAAAAGTCGGTGCCGACTTCGGGCCAACTCCTTGAGATTCGCCAGAAGATCCTTTTGCTTGTCGGTCCGCCGAGCCTTAGTGATTACACCGGCCAGGATTCTGACCCTGCTAAAGGCAGGGCCGGTTATTAAAACTATCCGCAATGTTCCGCCAGGCGAGGGGCCGTGGAGGATGATGCTGCTGCTTGCTCCAAAGATTCCACTTCCTGTCGGCTGCACGCCTCTGCGCCCTGAGCCCGCTGCTCCTCGCGCAGTCGGCCCAGTGCTGCCATTCCCTTCTTTCTCTTGCGTGATGTTGCGAGCTTGCGGGGCAGCAAGTTCTTCTTGCAGTTGTTAGCCTTGCCTCCATACAGAATGCGGTAATTCGCCAGGACGCGGAGGCAGAACGGAGAAGCCTCATATAGCGGAGGGCCGATTTCACGCGGTCGCAGCACTGCTATCCTCGGCTGCTTTTCGAGAAAGCCTGCAAATTCGTTTAGCATCTCTTAGAGATGCTACTAAAGGCCCTCGGAGCAGGAAGGACTCGTGCCTCAAGATCTGCCCGAACATCTCCAACGCAGAACATGACAGACTGCCCGAAACACTGCCACTGACTACTGTTGTTAAGGCGGCTGTCTCCTCTGCCGCCGGTGCATCACACCAGGTCTTCATCATGACGTCGACGTGTTCATCTGTGGGGTTCTTCAAGCCACCTGCCAAGCTTCGCATCGTCGAAAAAGATGACTCCAGATCCCCCGTGGTGTTGACGCAGCACATCAAGAAGCGTACCTTAACAGTTGTCGCATCTTGGCGGCAGCAACTGCAATCGAGACGCCTGGGCCCCCCACGGCCTGGGACAGAACAGGAAGCTTCTTGTGCGACCACTGTCGCATGGCCGCTGCCCAATAGTCCAGCTCGCCTGTCCTGAAGCTGGACTCTGAGGAAACCCTGAGACACATTTCCCCCTCGTTCATTCACTCTCCGCATACGTCCTCAGGAAATGCTCCGCCATTGGTCGAGCCAGGAGGTATTCCCGTTTCAGAGTTTCGCTGCAGACGTTGATCGCTTTGGCCAGTGACCCAAGACTGTCCTGCCTGGCCGTGAAGTGTAGGAGACCGACATGATTCATGATTCCAACGTTTTGGTGACGGGTTCAGGTTTGCAGGGAGACTGCTGCGCAGTTACCAGGTTATAAACGCAGAAACAGAAGAACAAGGCAGCCAAGTGGCAGAAAAGAGTCTGAACGCTCCTTGAGCCAGTGCTGGAGGTCGAACGGCCCGAACGACGACCCCAAGCCAGCCTCGTGCCACGTGCTCAGCCCCTGCATAAAGATCTCCGTCAGGTTGTGAACGACGCCCAGC